GACAAGTTCAAAGAGAAACTCAACATGGGTCGATGCTTTAAAGGTTCTGGCGCCTCCGTGTGTCGGTGGCATTAGATGAGGAGCAAAGTGCCCCCCCCCACACACATACACACACACCCGCCTCCCTCCCCCAAAAGAGCTGCGGTCTGAAACAACAGGTGCCAAAGGAACAGAAAGTCCATTATGTAAACAGGTGCACACACTGTAAGTTGATGGCTCACATTTATATGGGATTATAATTAAAACTAGAAAGTTTTCCTAAGAAATTTTAATTCCAGCAAACATCAACTTCCTTCTCTCCTAATGATCAATTGGGACTTGTGTAATAACGTAAAAAGCTTAAATTTTGAACAAGGAGTGTAAAGAGAAGCAAGCGCAAAAGAATAATTTCATATTCTGTGCAAGGCATTGTGGGTATGGGGTCAGAGGTTATTCAATGAAAACAAATCACATCGCTATATGACGGATGCAACCACATTTTTTTTTTCATTTATCTGATTTTTTTTGTGTGTGAATTCTGGCAAAGAAAACTCTGGATGAGGGGAAATGTTGGGGTATCGGTGCACCGTAGGACTTTTTAACAAGGCAATATTTGTAAAATTTGAATTTTATCATTTATGATAAATTTATTTTGAACACGATTTTGACTGACATCATTTTATGCATTTACCAATAAAATACGAGGAGACCAGGGACAGTACTAACAAGGGACAGTTGCAACACATCATTTTTCTCCAAAGCTAGAGTGATGACACTCACACTGTATGCATGCTCAGTTAAATGCCCCACCTTGCAAAGAAAAAGTAAGCAGATTCAAAATCTGCAGATTAAAAAAATGTTTTTGAGGTACCAAGGTATTTTTTGCCCAGCTTTATTTTTCTTATACTGTTGTCACTATTTTTGTGATCCACCTCAAACCCATATGGTTTAAATGAGTGATATGTTGACTTTTAACTAACATGGTAAACATGTATCCAGATCAGCTTATTTAGCTAACACGTGAGGTTTTATCATGGCTGACAGGAAGGGGGACAGTTGCACCAACTGTTGCAACTGCCCCCATATAATAAATCCATATAAAAACAGAGCACATACTGATGATATTAAAGTGTATCTTACCCCCCCGTGAAAAGATAACTCACCCCCAAGGCGAAATTTGAAAAATGCATCAAAGTGGGTAGGGGAGGGGGAGGGGGGGTTAGAGAGCGGAGGTGTGGCCAGGACGAGAGAAGGTGACAGGCAGCTAG